GGAGGCGTGACTCCGCGGTGATGATGTGTTTGCTGTTGCAGGGCGCAGTCATACGCGGAGCGGCTGCGGCTCGGGCTGGCGGTGATGCACGGCGAGGCGCAGTGCTCGGAGTCCGACATGGCTGACGGGAGACACTCCCCTCCTTCTGTCAGAAACAGCACCGGACACCCAGGCCTGGAGCTGCCATGTAAGGAGAAATGGTCCTTTTCCTCTTTGTGCTGTGCCAGTTAGGCAAGGAGGCACGTTGTTACTCTGAGCCAGGGACAGACAAGGACATGTCCCCCAACTCTGTTCCATCGCAGCACTTCAGTTCCAGTAATGTCTGTCACTACCTAAATGGATTTAAGCACGTTGAGGAAATGAGAGGGGGGGATTAGGATCTGGAATGGAACTAGGTGAAATGGATGGGATTTGATTGAATCGATAGATCCGTCTTCACCTGTTCATAGGCTGGAACAGAGCCTCTTAAAATGCAAAAGATTGCAAAGAGCTCCTTTGAAGCATTTAGAAACCAGTGTTCCCATGTAGAGATTTGGAAGGTTTCTGAGCTCTTAGTCCCCTGCCTTCTGGTATGCAATCCTGTCCAAACCGTGCCCACTGCAGCCATGTTCACCTCATTTAAACTGCTGAGCGTGAGGACAAAAGAGGAAGAGGTGGCAAACAATGTGCAGGAATGTAGAATGCTGTCCAGTTTAAATATGTCCTGCTCACAGTTCTTTTTCTACAAGTTATCTTCCATTTCAGCAGATCATTCTTGTTTGTCTTTATTGATGTATTTTCAGTATTTTGCGTTCCTGTTTTTACTGCATGAGCCAGATTACTGACCTTAGTATTTGGGTATCTTGTCCTAAAACCCACGACATTGGCATGGTATCTTCGGTATCCCTTGGAGACCCTCTGGTAATTCGTACACAACATTCCAACAATCCACATGCTCAGCATTTTAACAAGAGTATTCTGACATATCGATTGAAAATATACATTATTTTTGACGCCTGCTCGCTTTTTTTGTAAGTTTAACAAAGCAAGTTGTTCCTTTACAGTGAAATGCACAAGCTGGGTTATTTACCAGGTTGTGACTTGCATTCATTTATACAGTCAGTGGGGAGGGTTGTTTTTAACAAGCACCACTTTATAGGCTCATGGGCTGACATCTCATCCCTAATGCTTGAAAATCCCAAGTTTAAGCCCTAGAGTGATCAAAGTAGCTTTGTTCCCCGGATTCCTGGCAGCTTTCTCTGGCTGTAGAATTAGGTGAAGGCTTTGTTGAAAGCTGCATTGTTGGATGCTTCCTGGAAGAGACTTTGTGCATGTTCCTTTTTAAAATGTTTGTCTGCAGCTGTAATAGTACGAAAGACTGCTGCATATTATGTTATCCCCAAGAGCCATCTCTCTAAACAAAAAGAGCTCACGTCTTTGGTTATGAAGAGAGAATAGCTGTGTTAATTCCAGAACCTTTGTTATTGATGTTATAAACCCGCACTTGAAATATTGACAAGCTCCTATGCTGTTAATTTGTTCTATAGATTGTCAATTTGCTCATATCCTCATATCCTTATCCTGGAATATGAAAATTAAACCTTTTTGTTATGCATGTCCCCTGAGGCTGTTTGACAAGTACAAGGGTCACCGTGTGGGTGTGTCTTCCCTCACAGCTGCAGGAGTCTGCATGTTCCGTTTTCATATTGCGGAAAAGGCGGAGGTTTTTCTTTTACTTACCCATTGGCACCAATTTGCAGAACAGCACAGAAGTTAACTGCTGGTTGGATGTCCTTCTAACCTTTAAAAATGTTGCAGTTTGGCTGGGGATGTACAGTCAGAGTACTGCACCATCAGTCTCTCTCTCTCTCCTTAGCCTTCCACCCCCTTACAGCACATGAATTCAAATTTGTATCAGTGCTGAGTAAACTGTCTTCCTCCCAGCCATGCAGCAATAACCTTTTGACATGAGGGAGACTACCTGAACCAGTTTTATAAGTTAAGGTTTGAAGAATGGTCTACTTGTGTTGCGGGAAATATGAATTACAGATTGGAAAACGAGTGATTTTTGCAGGTTCTGTTATTAAATCTGTGTCTCATATGTATGAATATTTTGTTAATGGTCAATTTATTTGTTGGCAATAGGGAAGCAGCAGGCTCCATTTCCTGGCATTGAGCTCCCAAGTACGACCGTAATTAAGTGACACTTTTGATCACAGTAATAACATTACAGATGGTTGAATAACCCTTGCATGTAGAACTGGTCAGAACGAGAGCTTTCAATCTCTGCTTCCCAGCACACTCTTTTGAGAAACTTTCCTGAATTTCACTGCAGAAAGGAATGTTGGAAATGGGCTGTGGAGTCCTGACCAGTCTATCTGCTGTTTGTTTTAAGACTGGCATTGAAAATGCGTATTAAAGATTGTGCACATTACAGCAAAATAATCCTTGTTCTGTGTATATGGCAACATTCTGACAACCTATGCTTTGTGTGAGATCTTTCAGCCGCATCTTAAAATCCTTTTACATGTGCAAAAGGATCAAAACTCTTATCACTCTTAAGACCTACAGTAGGTTTTTATTTCCATTCCATAAAAGCAGTCAAGACTATTACCAGAATATGGAATTGTGCAGTTTACAAATCTAAACCTTACAAAAAGTTCAAAAATGGTAGTGCTGATCTGATATTAGTTGCCTGATGTTTTGTAATTTGAATATCTTATTGGGTTCTTGTTTTTTTTAACTAGCAGTTGAAAGAATTTCTTTGAAGCAGAGGTAGCCAGCACACATCCTCAAGAGTCCTTGGGCCCTCTTAAGCTCTTTGTTCTTTAAGAGCTCATAGCAATTAATTTAATTATTTGATTAATTAAATCGAAAGTCCTCTTTATTTAACCTGGCTTTTAGCCAGCTGTCAATTTGAAGACCCCCCCCCCCCAAAACCTACAAGATGGTGGTTCTGCAGCCCTAGGGCAGACCACATGGGCGCAATGGCAATGGGTGTGGCTGGGTGGGGCCTGGAGAGGATGTGGTTGGGCAGGGCTTGCAGGCTGACTGGCCCTGCCTGTGCAGCTGGAATGCAGGGCATGGCTGAGGCTTGTGTGTGGGAAGAGTCTATGGGGACAGTTTTCCACTGTGCTTTATATGATGCAAACATGATGCAACAAGCTTGAATTTGGGAAGGATGCCACAGCTCCACTGTAGACCTTAAGGGGCCTGTAGCATATTAACAGACATGAGTGGAAAATCTATCCCTTTGGTGCTGGCCTGCATGGTGACTTCAGGCCACAGGTGTGTCAATCTGTGCCCTTTTAATGAGCATTTCTCTTCCCAGAAAGAGGAAAAAAACAAAAGGCATTGAAATTTGTAGGATAAGAAGACCTCGGAGTGTGTGTGCCATGCAGAGACTTCAAAGCTCTCGGGAATAAGTGTGTAGATTGCTGAATGGCCACCTTTTGGAATGGTCCTACTGTTCATAAAGTATGAGTGTTTAAAAAAGATAAAAAAGGAAATCTTGCTGATTGATATTTCCACAGCGAGCAGAGATGCAACTGATTCTCTTGCCTTCCTGTATAGCTGGCCATTCTAGAGAGTGAAGGATGTTAATGCCTTGGTGACAGTACTAACATCATTGGATATTCTGGGTTCTTTGAACCTGTAATTATGATTGATTAACCTTTGAGTTCTTCACTCATTTTTGACTTCTCAAATGCATTTGCTTTAAATATGTGTATCCATTTACATTTGAGTTTAATGGAACAAAATGAGTTTATACAAACCTTCATCAGTGTGTGAAAATGAATCCTTCCAGAGGTCTATCAGAGAATCATTCTTTTGAAATAATGACACAGAACAAATGAACTAAGATTCAAAATCATGATCCCATCTTGGTTGTATTTAAACACCCAGGTTTAAGAACTAGGTAATGCAGAAAGAAAACATTTTGTACACACTACTACTTAAGGGCTATGTTACACAGACAAAAGTAAACTCTAAACTAAGCTTCAAACACTACATTTAGATTTGACTAAATTCTAAAAATTAAAATGCCAGTTTAAGCCATTTTAGAGATCCCCTTAACTTTTATGTCATTAGTTCATGTGTATTCTGTGATCAGCTGCTCTTAACCCAGTGCTCCAGGTTAACTGGCTGTCCTGGCTGGGGTCTCAGTGCTGTGCTGTGTGATTAATGTAGAAGGCCTAGGAGGGATGGGCATCTCACTAGAGGATTCCTTTCGTCATGAATGCTTTCAAACCAGCGATCACAGGGTCTGGACCTCGGTGGCAGTGTTGTACCCCCTTTCTCTGGCTGGCACTGGGCAAGACACCAAGGCCTCCTCTGCAGCCTGTATGGAACAGGCGAACTACAGAGGACACTTGAGGAGGTTACAGTGCGTGTGTCTCTGTGTCTCTCAGCTGAACTCTTGGCTTTGGGTGGTCAGAAAAGGACACTATAACTATATACTAGACTGCCAACTAAATGAGGCCTTTGTATCCCTGGAAGCCTTTAATTGCTTTTAATCAAAGCCTTAGTAACGATTGCCTTCTGCTTAGCATAGCTTTGTTTGTTGCAAGAAAAGGGTCTTGGAAAAAGCCCTCTTTGTTTTGGAGGATTAAACACTAACACTTAAGCTTCTCTCCCTTTTGCAAAAATTCTGTTCTTTGACAATCCATGTCCAAAGAACTTGACTATTTTTTTTGGGGGGGCACGGGTCATCTGACCTAGTCTTTCTATCTGTGATCGAACCAGTTCGTTTATGTGTAACCTAAAGTTTGATGAAATTACACTGAGGTGAGGGGCAGGTTTGTCAAGCTTTCCCAGGCTAGACCATTGGATCTTCATCCTTCTCATACAGCATGGTTCTGAGCAGGTCCCCAGTCTCCATGTTCAGTGGCGTATTGAACAAGTTGGCAGCACTGTTGTGGAGACAAAAACAAACTGTAACTTTCAATTTGTCTTCTTAAAAGACACAAGGCCAGAGGGGCAAATGCCAGGTTTATTTTTTTTATACATTTGCTTTGTGGCTATAAAGTTAGAGAGTCAGGGAAAGATGAACACTTCAGCATTTAAAATGTATATTGGAGAATATTCCAATTGCAGGAGAGACCTGCCTTGTGCCGATGTCTAGGTGTTTTCTGTCTGGCAGCCAGGGATTGGACCTGCTCTGTTGCTGCTGCGGTCAGTATGTTGTCCCGTTTTGGTCGAGATCTTTCTTGGCGTCCGGCCTGTGGAAGGGTACGACAGCGCTGCTGCTTCAGAGCCCAGAGGAGGGATCACAGATGCTAAAGGGAAACGTTGGCACTCCTGTTTGACCTGCATTGGTTTGGAATTTGTTGTACTGAAGGAATTCTTGTGTATTTTAAAACCTCAGCGTTTTCTGGGAAAAAGGTGCATTTTTGAAACCATGATATTGCAGCTTGTTTCAATTCTGTTTGTAATGTATAATGTCAAATAAAAAATGCAGAGCACATGTCCTAAATGCAACCACACATAATCACCACTCTTGTTTGTCAAGTTGGTTGAAGTTTTTAAATATACAAGAATCTGATTGGGTATATTGGGTAAAAGAGGAGCATGTTTTAATTTTGCCTGCTCAGGGTTCTTTCGAAATACAAACATTTGTTTTTTGCAGGTGGGTTGAAATAGGGATACTTTCATATTCATAATCCTCTATTTGATTGAGATGTTCTGTGATCTTTAGTAGAATTTTGGAAAAGGCTACGAAGTGATCGGGATCAGAACAGTGCCTCAGATGCTTTTTTATAAATTCACAAGAAAAAGCATCTGGCATTTGGGAAGCCCTATCTAACCCACCTTACCCAATCTCCCTCCCTCTGGCTCTAAATGCTTTGGAAATGTGCTAATAATTACATCTTTCGTATGTTGCAGTCATGATGGCAAAGGAAAAGCCGCCTATCACAGTCGTTGGGGATGTAGGAGGAAGAATCGCCATTATTGTAGTAAGGCGCAGCTTTCACTAAACTGAGCTCTGCATTGCAGGGCTGACTGCTCTCAAACTGCCCTATACATACTGTGCTATAGTATTGTAGATCCATAAGACTCTTAATTAATCATTTGTAACTGTGACAGTTTCACAAATGGCAATCTTTTTTTCCAGAGGTGCACTCACATTTTATTCAACAGACATGACATAGGTACAGTGAAATGTCATTTGGAAAACAAAGTGGAAGATGGTATTCTAAAGGTTCATGGATGGCCACATAAATTTGAAAAATAGTTTATCAAATCAAATCAAATCTTTCAGGACATATGCTGTAAGATTGTTTAAAACAATACTTTCATTTCCATCCAAAACTCCTCTTAACATATGGAACCTTGAAAAAAAACAACCATGTGTCATTGACAGAGTGTAGATGCTTTGTGACTAAACATTTTAACATAATGACATACAGTAGATAGTAGTTGTAGTTTTTGATATTTGCACAGTACAGCAAATCTGCGAGCAAGATTGTTGAGAGTTTTACTTCACTTCAATTTCATCCTTGCATACAATATCCCCAGCAAATTACTGACCAGTGTATTGAGATGTTTTATTGTTCATTGGAAATAAGGTATGATGATTTTCTGATGGGGAATTAGGTCAGTTCAGAACAGGATGATGCAATACACAGTAGTTTGAAAAATGTAAAAGATAGGCATTCTGTCTTTACACAGGCTGTAGAACCAAGAGAGTATCAAGATGCGATTAAGGAAGAATGTTGAGAACTGTCCGGTCATTATTTTATCTGAATTATTTGAGGGTTTATCCAAGCTGTCTTGTGCTGTCTTGCACAATAATTCCCTTTACTTTTTTTCTGTAAGGATGATATCATAGATGATGTGGAAGATTTTGTAGCTACTGCAGAGATTCTGAAGGAACGGGGCGCATACAAGATCTACATCATGGCGACGCACGGCCTGCTGTCTGCAGACGCCCCCCGTCTGATCGAGGAGTCAGCTATTGATGAGGTGAGCCTCCCACTCCTTCGACTGTCGACTCTGTGGCTTTCTGTGCAGCGGTGGTCAGTGCACCAGTCATGTGCGGGGAATGGTTGAGTTGCATAAGATGCAGTTCTTACAACATCTCCCGTGTTTTGCAGCTTCTTGCTTGTGCAGTGGATAGACCCAGGGTTGGGGTGGACTCAACCATCAGGCCTGGAAAGGCCTGTCATATTGCTGACACAAAGACGGAGATCTCTGATTTTGACCTAATCTGCTTATTGATTGACAGATAACTGTTGAAGTATTACTGATTTGCTTTTCTCCCGTTGATTACATTGGCAAGTGTAAGATTAGATTTTTATTTACATGAACTGCTGTTTGTGAGGCAAGATTCATGCGTGGTATTCAGCATGGTTTTGACTCTCCAATACCAGAACCGTGCACCACTGTTTTGTGTTATTGTAAAGTGGTTCTTTTGGGTCGTGGTCTAGGTTGTCGTGACCAACACCGTGCCTCACGAGGTGCAGAAGCTGCAGTGCCCCAAGATAAAGACTGTGGATGTCAGCATGATCTTGGCAGAAGCCATTCGCAGGATCCACAATGGGGAGTCCATGGCCTACCTGTTCCGCAACATCACGGTGGACGACTAGAGGAGCAGACAGCAGGGGGCGCAACCGAGATCTCCATCCTGGATAAAAATGGCAGCAGGGCAAAACCTCATTTCTGAGCACAGGAAGGCAGCTGAAGGCAATAATAATGTATCTTCCACTCCCACCTGTGTCCAGCCCACCATGCTTGTGAGGTCAGAGGTTGCTGCCATGATAGTTGGGTCAAAGGTGGCATGGCTTATCGGTCAGGGTTTTTTTTTTCCATTTTATTACCTAATTAGTGATCTGTTAATGGAAGATGTCCAAGAAGCTAAATGATGGCTTTTCACAGCTGTAACACCATTGTGCTAGTTTGTTCATAATTTATATTTTATTAATCGGTACTCTGTGCAGTCAAAGTATATGTGCATAAAAATCATACACCGTAGGAACCTTTCCAACTTAACGAGTTTGCTAACATCTCTGTCATACTCTTGCCTTCACTTTTTTTTGTCCGAGTCAGTGAGTGTTTTTTCTGTTCTTCTTAAGTCAACGCACAAAAAATAGACCTGGCACTTGTTTCTGAATTCTGCAGTGTATTGAAGGAGTGGACAAAAATATGCCAGATGCATTCAGGATCACTTTACCATCTTCCTCCCTGGTACTGAAGTGCTGTTCAAGGGCTTCAAAAAAGCTGAGGGGCAGACCTTTTTGGATGGCATGCTTAGTGCAGTATTTTCTTGACGCTGTCCATACCAAATAGTAAAATTATTTTTGTGTGCGATTCTTCACCAGCTCTTCAGCATACGAGTGGCTGTTGCAAGATTTTCTGTAAGTGGAGCCTTGAGAAACCTGGCAGATCAGAAGTCTGTTTTGCTACGTGTGCAGGATTAGCAAGAGCCTGTAAGGAGTCAGTGTGTTCAGTCAGCTTTCAAACCGTATTCCAGGCATCCTCACAAACTATCTTAAGATGATTGTCAGGTTTATGAAGGGCTAGTTGCACCTGATCTCTTGAGGGGGATGTATTTGAATGGTGTTATTAACAGTATATACTGGACTGTGTTTAGTCGGGCTGGAGTACCTCTCCAACACTTTCCTATCTTTTTTTGATCAGGTGAGGGAAGCCTTCCTGGACTAAATGTGGATTTATATGACTTGAGAAAGTGGTGTGGTATGAAAGTCAGCACCATTGCTTCCTCCAGTGTAACAAAGCCTCTCTATTGAGTCTCTATTGAATTTAATAGGGGGCAATTCTTGAGCTCCTGTCTGTAGGCTTAGTGCAGCCGTTGTGTTAAAGGCCTCTAGGTTACTGGTGACACCTGCTGGTTTAACTCTGTTAAATCTGCAGAATGCTGCTCTGTCCTGGCAGCTGAATGCGAAGGCACAGCTGGGCCTTTTGCAGTGCAGCCTCTTCGGTCTCTCCATCCAGCCTGTAGATCTGCCAGTCCGCTGCTCACTGTGATCTTTTTGAAGTGCTGTAATGCAAAGTAGTATGCAGACAAACTCAAAAGTGCTGCCAGCTGAATTCACCTGCAGTATGTAAAGCTTTTAGTCTTTATACTGTTGGTGGAGATGGCCATGCTTAAAAGGCGTTCAGTTTGGAAAAAATTCTCATCTTCCTGAGAAGTGAACAGTATTGGAAATATGAGAAGGCGTACTTTATCTCTCAGGCTTTGTCGTCATGCTTTGGGGACTGTGTAACAGTTTAACGCCTCCTTTTAAAACCAAGCAAAAATTACACACGCAGTATTAGTGTGGCTGCAATAAGCATCTTTTTAATGCACAGAATATTTGCACTGATTGTTTTGAAGTCTAAGTTTCTGAAGCATATTCAGTAAACAACATTGGCCAAGATCTATCAGTGAATGGCTGTCGAATCTGATGCTTTGCAAGTCCTGCAGTGTGCTTGTTCAGCATGCGGTTAATGCCTCTCTGTGTTTAGTAGAAGTGGCTCAAACGTGTACATGTGGATTTTAAGTTGAGGATAATTCCCTCCCTCCCCCCCCCTCCATCTTGGAGCAGTCTTTTGAGGATGAAGGTTTTTTTTTATTTTTGAAGGGCTGATCATTATAATCCCTACTACAGTGGCTTGTGTGCTCTCTGCCTTTGTGGAGTTAAGCTTTTTAAAGAGCTTAAAGTGTTTGGAAAGTCGAAAGGTTGTAAGTTCTGTACAGATGTTGTTCTACCATAACATGGTGTTTTGTGCATATATAGACTGTTAAGAGGCTCCTTTTTCTTAGGAATTCAGGTTTAAAATGTTTTCCTAGCAATACTGATGTGAACATGCATGTACTGCTGTTTGTTTTCCAAGTGGAAGGATGTTGCTGGACCAAGCTGAGCTGATGTTCTGTTTCCTTGCTTCAGGATAGCCTGTTGAGTATTCATTAGGGTCAAAGGCAGGACTGATCACTTGCAGTAAGAAAGCACTACATCTTCATGAGACTTCACCACATTGTAGCATCTCTCTTTACATTTTTAATTGCTGTTCTTTATATTTGCTGTGCTAGGTTACGTCCATTTTCCATCTTTGTATTTGAAAAATGCTTTGAGCACGTTACAGCTTCATATTTGATTTCACCTCTAAGGGACTGGCTTGGTTTTGTGTTTGTAGCCTAATAATAAAAAGGAAATGTATATATGGTGTGGATCACTTTTTGTCTTGTGAATTCTGAATGTAGAAACCAGTTTGGCTGTAGATGACTGTTTCTTTAAGTACTAAATTCAGTTTTTTTATAATGGTTTATAACCAGCGCTGCACAGTGATGTGATTTTGAGCTGTACTGTCAGTGTTGCCGATGTGGAGGTGCTGATACTCGCGCACTTGAGAGTAACACCTTGTGGACCACACCAAGCTCCTGCTTATAAAGCCTGAGAGCAGCGACGGTAAGCGAGGTACTCGAGGTGCGAGACATTTGAGATTTGCATGTGGCAGTGGGGACACCAAGGTGGTCAAATCACATGGAGATGGTGAAATGGTCCTGTTTACCCTTTCCCTCCTTTTTAACACCAGTGGCTGTCCTGCCATGACCGAGGTGGGAGCAAAGCCCAGCCGAGGCTCGGCGCTCCGATTAAAAGCACGAGGAGCACACTCCCTATCGCCAGTGCATTCCCAGGAATGGTTCGTTAGCAGCCCTGCTGCGGTGGGACCCACCATAAACTCCAGACGTCCGTGTCTGTGAAGTGAACCGATCACACGGGCTGAGCGCATGCATTTGGATAAAGAAGATCTCCCACAACACTTGCAATCCAATTTTATTTACTAT